ATGTGACATATTAAAATTCACATGCGACGATTTCGATTTCGCATATTGGGCTCATCTTTACGCATGTGGCTCGGGCTCAGCCTATACATGTGATTCAGGAACCTGTATTGATAAGCATCAAGCAACTCCTGAATCCACATTCGGCAATGATAACACAAGGTCAAATGGGGCCGTTCAGCGATCATCTGAGTGTACGTCATCTGCCCAATGTACGCTGCATTGCGCAAACCCGGGCACGTACGTCTCCAGTGGTACCGTACACCTGACACTGGTCCATACCACACATCGGCATCATGTCGGATCACCAAGTCCGCAAAGTTCAAAGCTGCATGAACAATCGGCTGATTTGGTGGCTGCATAATAACGGCTTGCTGAACTCCAATGATTTCCTGTGCTTGCGCATCATTGGTATGGCCATTGTATGACTCTGCATCATCAGCATCTGACTCATCCGGCTCAAACTCAGGCTGTACACTTGCAACACTGGGAGTTGCAGGTGGAGTTTCATCAAGGATCATGGCACGGGTGCGCGGTGAATGCTGCTCAAACGGATTGCTGGTAGCATCATCCTCATCCAAAGGCTCAAGAGGCGGCATAGCATCATGAGCATCGGGATCAGCGGCTGCTTCCTCTGTGGTGGCACTAGGGTCAACCGTAAGGTTGGGACTAAACCCTAAAGCAGCCAGGATCCACATAAAGGGGTTGAAGGAACTAAACCCTAAGGGGTTGAGGAACCCGGTGCAGAACACAATAATGACAGTCACAATCATCATGGCAAGGAGGTGGCTCCATGCTGACTCGGCACGGTCAGGATTAAAGTCAAAGGCACGCGCATCGCCTGACCCATTATGATCACCATGATCATCGGAGCTCAAACTGTGCTCAACTGATTCCGTAGCCACTATCTGGAGTAGCAAGGACAACACACGTAAGCCATGATTTGCGTGACCACCATGATTCAGCTTCTTCACTGACCTGATGAACTTCTTGGCTTCCTCACGTTCTTGGATGGCATAGAACTCATCCTCACCCACACGTCTGAAACCGGAGGCTGCATCCCGCACATTGATCAAGTGACTCAAGTAGGCAATCCTTTGAGCACTAAGAGACTTGGTCATAAGATCGGCAGGGTTGCTCAATGTCGGTATGGGATGCCAGGTTGCCAAATGTTGTCGGGTGATGAAGTCCTGAAGCCAAAGCAAACGTCCTGAGATGTGTCTCAATTTTCCACATCCCTGGCGACCAATTATGCCTCGACAGGCACTTGAGTCAGAGTATACATGCATCTCCACATGTTCTTTGGTCAGATGTTCAAACGCGGAACGCAAGAGAATTGCATCGCATACGCTGCTAACTGCTGCGACGTATTCAGCTTCAGCACTTGACAGGCTGATGCAGCTCTGTGACCTTGAAAAGGTGTGGACAGTCATCCCATCAAACATCAGCACTCCGGCTGAGGTTGATTTTCTTGAGGATTTGTTACCAGCCCAGTCACTGTCACAAAAGACTTCCAACACATGGCTGGTGGATGACCTGGTCACATGCCCACGGCCCTTTCCTGCTGTCTCAAGGCACAAGACATACTCAGCACTGTTGAACAGATAATTGGCAAGGTGGCGCAGGCATTTCCAAGCCCCGACATTGGACTTGCCACAGAATGATGCAAGTGTTTTGATTGCATACTGGGCACTTGGCACATCTGGTGAAATGTAAAGAAGAATCCCAACACATTTGCGGTACAGCGCTGCTTGATCATCACTGATCAGATCTTCTTGCACAAAGAGGGGCAATGCACCGGTAGGAAGGGGAGTATTCTTCTTGGCCTGCTTAGTCACACCAAGCAGCTCAGCAAGGTACTGGATGTGTTTTGGATTTGAAAAGATGCCTAGAATCCAACCCCGGCCATCTATGCCAGCACTGACCCATGCATGGCGACGCTTTAGAAAGGAGATTTCCTCCCCAACCTGGCGAAGCTCTTGAATGGTACATTTGTACTTACCCTTCACCGAACTGCGCAGTGCTGACATGGCCAAGACACCGCCTGCGGCAAAGACATCATCTACATGACTGAGGCCTCCCCCGCCAGCTGCAGTACCCCCGCCATCTTTGGCAACTGGTATGCAAAACAGTGCTGGAGCTTCTGTAAAGGCCTCGATGTTGATGGTTGACCGCAAGTGATCATGAAAATCATCAAACCAGCTACGAGCGCCAGTGCGCTGACCTGGCAAGGTACGCAAAAGCCTGTACCATCGAAGTTGATTCCCAACTTGCCATGACACGATGGTTGGAGTCTGCTGCGGCACTGTCAAGTAAGCATCGGTAATGTCAAGAGATAATGCATGCCAGTCTTCCCCTGCGGCACACTTTGAAACAAGCAGCGCAGGTAAGACTCGAGTCAAGACGCTGCTAGAGGCTGGT